AACATGATCATGTCTATTGTCCCACAGGCAATTGGCTCCTTAGCCGCATTTGAGCGTATCCAGGAGTATCTTTTGCAGTCCCCTCGGCGTGATCAAAGGTTAATATCGGAGAAAGTCAAAGAGAGCACCACAGATATTCTACCCGCCATTTCCGTCAAGAACGTTACGATTCAGACAACTCCATCTCTGCCCCCTTTGCTTAGAGATATCAATATTGACATCGAAAAGGGCTCAATAGTTGTTTGTTCCGGACCGGTGGGGAGCGGTAAGACGATGCTTACTCGATGCATCATGGGCGAACTTCCGACCGCTAGCGGGCAAATATCCGTGTCGTCGAGTCGCATAGGTTGTTGTGAACAATCACCTTGGCTACCTAGTGGAACTATCAAACAAGCAATCTGTGGTTTTACACCAGAAAGCTCAACGTGGTACGAGGAAGTTACCCGACTTTGCTGCCTCGATGAGGATATATTGGAGCTTCCCAACGGAAACCATACTATGATCGGTAGCCGAGGCTTAAACCTTTCTGGGGGTCAGCGTCAGCGAGTGGTAAGCTTTTATCTATTTGTCTTGTCAGGTTAACATATCTCACAGCATTACGACTCCTGTTAAACGATTCCGATAGCACGTTGTAATGTTTGATGGGTTGATGGTCTTGTCTCGTCGGACTATGTTCTCTGCTAGATGCCGAGCTCAACACTAAAACGGACTTTACTGACCAGCATCAGGCCATTGCTCGCGCTGTGTATTCTCGTTGTGAAATAGTCCTTCTTGATGACAGCTTCAGCGCTCTTGATGGAAAGACAGAGAGCCGAATTGTAAAGAACTTACTCGGCGAAGGAGGTCATTTCAAAAAGTCAGGTACAACTGTCTTTCTAGTCACAAACTCAGGTCAGTCTAAGTTGAGTCGCAAGATGTAAGCCGGAAACTGATTGGGTCATAGCAACCCATTTCCCCTTTGCAGACTGGTTGGTTATACTCAAGGGTGGTACAATCTCATACCAAGGAACGTGGGCTGGTTTGACACCAGACACAAAACATGTCGTCAAGCTTTATATAAGCGATACACAGAACAGTAACCCTGGAGAGCAACCGCGATTAGATAATAACGTGCAGAGCCAGAGCCTCAAGGTAGCAGAGGCTATCTCTGATCTTACCAGGGCCACTGGGGATATTTCTCTTTATGGTAACGAATCGACAGAGCTTTCCAGGTTTCCCTACATTTATACTAACGCAGCTTTCCGGTGCAGGTTATTACATACGAGCTGTGGGCTTGCGCAACTTTCTCATCCTGCTTGCCTGCACGTCATCCTATTCGTTCTTCATTACGTTTCCCCAGTACTGGCTGCAGAAGTGGACTGAAGCCCCAGCATCCCAAACTATGTTCTACGTTGGCGGCTACCTAATTTCATCTCTTATGGCATGGACTTCTACGAATGGTTCGATGTGGTGAGTATATACACGAAATCCAATGTCAACGAAGCTGAACGTCAAGGTCTACGCATATACTTGTCGCACCGGAATCTGGGGCTGAGCTCCACCGGCGCCTCCTTTTGACAATCATCAAGTTTGTAGATATGGTCTCCTCAACTTCTGTTACAAGACTGATATAATTACAGAGCACCACTATTGTACTTCTCCAACACTGATACTGGAGCTATCTTGAATCGGTTAGTTGTTGAACTTTGTTTCTTAGTACTGTCTCTTAACCCTTCACAGATTCAGTCAAGACATGCAGCTTGTCGACAGGCACTTGCCCCCAGCCGTGCTATCTATCTCTAATCGTGAGTATAACTCGAAAGTCTTCTGATCTTTTCTCATTCTCGATTTTAGAGGTTTTTAAACTTTTGGTGCAAACTGTCTTGCTTTTTAGCGCACAGAAGTTTATGACGTTGACACTACCCGTTTGTGTGACGGTCGTTTATATTGTGCAAAAAGTCTACTTGCGCACGTCTCGGCAACTGCGACTGCTTGACCTAGAGTCTCAATCGGCAGTATACTCAAACTTTCTTGAGTCGGTACGTTTTATATACAATAGCTGGTTGTTTTGTCTTTTCTTTTTCTTTTTCTGACAATACAAAAGGTTGAAGGTGTTGCGACCATTCGGGCTTTTGGTTGGGAAAAGCAAGTCGAAAGCGCAAACATCCGCTGTCTAGATGAATCTCAACAGCCTGCTTACATTCTATTCTGTCTCCAAAACTGGCTGAATATTGTTCTCGATCTCATCGTCGCTGCGATTGCAACCGGTCTCATAACCCTAGCAATTTTCGTCAAGGGAACGACCACAGCCGGGCAGATTGGCATGGCGCTGAACATTGTTCTAGTCGCCAATACAACTCTCCTTGGCCTGGTGACGTCTTGGACAAACATGGAGATCTCACTGGGTGCCATGTAAGTTTGCTCTATGCTTCTTGTCCTCTTGCTTTTAGTACTATTTGTATTACATGAGGTTTTCGTTGTCTCTTACCATACCTGAGTTCATGCGACTTACCTGGCACCTTGCAATGGGCACTGGTTATCTGAGGAGAGAGTTTGGTAGTTGTGTGCTAATGTATCACTAGATCTCGCTTGAAAAGCCTAGAGGCAGAGACACCCCGAGAAGACAAACCATCGGAAGACTACGTTCCTGAGGGTATCTGGCCATCATCGGGTGCTGTTCAGTTGGATGAGGTTGAGGTCGCATATCAGTAAGGCCACTTTGAGTTCCAATACTCCAATTTGACCCTGGACTAATATCAATACGTAGCTCCGAGGCAATTGCTCTCCAAGACATCAGTATGAAGGTGCCAGCAGGCCAGCAGCTGGTTGTTTGTGGCCGCACAGGCAGGTAAGCAGACATATTGCAAAGACTGAGAGAGCTGAGAAATGTCAGTCTAACACATTCTGCCATTCTGCAGCGGAAAAAGCACTCTGTTACTCGCACTCCTGCGCATCCTGGATACAGCATCTGGATCCATCAAGGTAGATGGAGTTGACCTGAGCTTGGTCCCACGATCCTTGGTCAGTCAAAGATGCTTCATCACCATCTCCCAGGACCCTTTCGTCCTTGGTCAAGCTAGTCTTCGTTTCAATCTAGACGTAAGTTTGTCATTGCCTCATCGTGCGGATCTTCATTCTGGCCAAGGCTCGCTGACATTTCTGCAATATAGCCTTCTGGTATAGTTTCAGATGGAGCCATCGTTGCAGTTCTCCAGAAGACTTTGCTTTGGTCACATTTCAATCCAGAAAATCCTGTACCAAGGAGGTCGCGCAAGGTATTGGACAGCTCCATCGCTTCATTGCCGCAAATGTCCGCTGGTCAATCACAACTGCTCGCAGTAGCTAGAGCCATCCTCCAGCTTCATTCTCTCAATCATGCACGCGGCCTCCCCGAGGCGGAACGGACCATGCCAATTCTTCTACTCGACGAAGCTACCTCGTTACTTGACCTAGAGACGGAGACTTTGATTCGCAACATCATACATGATGAATTCATTGCGAAAGGACACACAGTGATCGCCATAACACATCGACAGAGTGGACTTATAAACAGTATGCGACCTGGAAAGGATATGGCTGTCTTGTTATCAAAGGGCAGAATTGAGAAGTTTGGCAAAGTAGAAGATGTTTTGGGTATATAGGGTTAATGATTGTCGGCAGTAGTCAATAGTAGCACAGAAACCATTACTCAGTCACCTCCCCTCCCCTTGGTTAGAACCTGGCCGGACATAGAGGTAAAATACATTGATGATGGGTGGGAAAGTTCTTAAAAGTATGACTGAATGCCGAAATACAGCTTGGATCAATGCGGACTGGTATTATAGGACCGGACTTTGGTACGTGTCAAAGGGGACCGAACATTGAGACGAGAACACGATTCACATGGGTAAGACAGAAAACCTGGTAGACATACTGGACATATAAAGTGACGCGGAGGCACGTATATCTGCTTCTAACATACTATTTGAAACATCATCTCCCAACCAGTGCTCGACCCTTTCAAACAAATCAGCAATGGTAATCTGAGTCTCCTGAAAGCTAGCTTTTCAAGCACCCGAGACAAGCTGACGAGGCAAATCTGAGCCTGAACTCTTCTGTTACAGAACCAAACTCATCATAAAAGGGAGAGGCGAAACGGTGCCAGTGGAAATAGGAACTAGCATCAGGATCCGTGTGGACCCAACCCCAGTCCCTCTAACCTCCGTCCGCTGCTGCCCTCTTTGAGGTTGTGTAGACGTCTTAGCCTTGGACCCGTCTTGATCTCACGATTATGGCACAGTAGTTGACATGCTTGATCGATTTTCACCTGGGCAGAGAAGTCAGGCGAGCCAGCGAAATTCTCGAAAAGCATACAGAGTTGCTAAAGAATTTGACCATATGCCGGTCCACCCTTACTAATTTCTGCCGAGACAGGTATAACAAGGCCAAGACACCAAGGGAGTAGCCTTCAGGTGGTTCCTTGTTAAGAGAAAATATTCTTGGCAACCTTGTAATGTCCTGGGATGAATTTGCCGTGACATCATCGCATCGGAAAGTGGTAAACTCTGGTCACGAGGGCGAGTAGGGACTCAATTGTCCACCACCCGGCGTCGACAAGAACCCCGGCGGACATGTCACTTGTAGGAAGAGATCACTGCTGTTTGTGTGACAGGTAGTTCACGCCGGGTAGGCCTATGATTTATCGAGTCTAATTGCAAGACGATCAAGAAAAAAGAAAGGAAAAAAGGGGACAAAAACGACGCACATCCCCGTCGTCGCCTATAGACCTGGCATCATGGAGTCAATGCAGACACCAACAAAAAACAAAAAATAAAGGACAACGAATCCCATCGCTTGCCTTCTGCCGGGGCACACTACAGCAACACGCTTTATTGCTCGAGAAGCAGCACCCCTCAGTATCAGAACAACAACCGCCGCCGCGATCCGAGAAACAACACCCTTCCCTGCTGGAGAAACAACACCCTTCCCTGCTGGAGAAACAACACCCTCCGCTACTGGAGAAGCAGCACCCGCCGCTGTCGCTAAAACAGCAACCTGGCGTGTCCTTCATACTCTCCCACCTCTCTTCCGCCGCCAGCATCTCGGGATACACCCACGTATACTCCTCGCTGTCCTCCCGCTCCCGTGACAACCTAGGCCGCGGTTCCAGCAGGTACCCCTCCTCCCGGGCACCGCGCCTTCGCCCTCGTTTCCCTGCGAGCAGTCCGGCCTTATCATCGTCTGCCAAGCTACTGCGTGAGCTCCGCGGGTCGTCCACGTCACCCGATTCGCGAGCAGAAGGTCGAGACGAGGATGACGGGGTAGATGCGGCGGTGCCGGTCGAAGACGGCTCATACGGCGGAGGCGCTTCGTCCGGCTGCCGCCACTGCTGGTGTCCCTGGTCGTCCTCCTCCCCATCGACGGGAATGGGCTGTCGCTGGACGTCACGCGCGGTGGAATCAGGGACCTTTGCCGCCGGCGCCTCACCTTTCCTCGACGGATCCATATTTTCAAACGCTTTTTTTCCAGTACGTAAAAAATGGTTCGCGGCAAGCGTCGGGCTTGTGAAATGCAGATCGCGGGGAAATGGAGCCTTCTCGCGTGGCGTGCGGCGTGGGCGATGGAGACTCGGTGTGGGGATGCCGGGTCGGCCCCCCAAAAGACCGTACGTAATGAGATGCCCGTTAAGCGTTTCGATCAAGTAATGGATGGAGCTTATGAGACGTGGATTCGCGGGGAAATGGATTTAAGGGCTTGGAAGGACGGCATTTAGGGAACTGGGGATGAACAACGTCGGTCGCATGTTGATATGGTTGACGGCAAGCAGCTGAGCTGAAAGAGGGCTCCAAAAGGAGACTCGTAATCGATCTGACGCCAAGCCCAAACGAGGGCTGGTTGACGGACCATGGCTGCATATTCAGTGTGGCTTGTTTCTTGCAAGCGGCACAGCGACAACAGGAATTCTTCGTAGCCAGCTTTGGAGTCTCATTGGCACGTTCACGAATGATGACAAAGACAGACAGTTCCGTGGCTCTAGCCAGCTGCGCACGTCTGAGAGAGGAGGGCAGCATCGAGACTGGCGGATGCCGGAGATGTCCCGGCCCGCGACAACCAGGACCAGCACGCTTCGTCTGCCCGCCAGAATGCATCGCCTGCATCTCGGCAGCAGATCAAGCTCCGCGTGGCCGGTTTCCTGCGGCCTGCCCGCCGCCTTGTAGGGCTTCGGTTGCAGTGCCAGACCACTTGTCCAGGGCCTCTGGTCGTGGGCGGGCGGGCGGGAAGGGCGAACACCGAAAAGATAAGAAGCCGCCGCCATCCTACCAAATCGATCGGAACGCCAGGAGCTGCGCCGGCCACGCCGTTCTCCCGCTACTAGCTGCGGGCGTTCAGCCTTGGGGCACGAACCGTAGCCCCAAGACGGCATCGCCTTATCAGTGCAGCAGCCCTTGGCCATGCCATGGCGATCATTAAACGGCTAAGCCTAAGCCCAAGCCTTCGGCGACTGGGAGCGGCAGCGGCATTCCTCTTCCGCCAACAGTTGGCTTCCTGCCGGCAGCCTTAGCAGGACAGGGCCGCTGTCGCCAAGGACCACGGTCGCCTTGTCTTCAGCTTCGATGGCTGAAGAGACTTGGCGATCCGAACGGAACTGCCTTGGCGCATGTACAAATATCTCCGACCCGGCCGCCTTGCAGCGCCTGTCTTTCAGCTGTTGATGTTGCCGACGCAGAAAAAGCCAACAACATCTTGGCCGACCCCCTCACAAAGCGAACGTACTAGGCGGTCAGCGGATATCAAGTGCTTTGCCAAACAATGGCTGCTTAGGTGGGATAGAAACTCATGATATTTGCTGCTGTCTTGCGCGAGTCGTTGATATTCTACTCGTTACAAGTCGGGTCCGTCTTTCTCGTCGGATGTCGATCAGTTATTGATAGGAACCAGGACGGATGGGTCGTCCACGAACACATTACTGATACCGATATCAATTCTATGTAAAGCGCAGTCGCGGTGAGATTGCTCAACAGGCTAATATTCGAAGCGGGTCCTCGGATCCCACAAAAACAAGAACTCGGACAGTCCGATCCCAGGAGACCCTCATCCCATCCACACCGCGAGGTCGGGAGAGATAAGAAGCGAGAGCTGAGACCACCGCCTAACGAAAGCCATTACGTACGAGAATCGTCTTGCGCACGAATGAGGGCCTTACCAAGCTTCCCCAGAGGATGCTAATCAAATCCATCACGCTGCATTGGACCGTCTAGGCCTACCAATCTCTCCACAGTTGCGCGTCGGAGGGTAGTGTTTTGGAAAACGGGCGTCGCCAGGCACCATTGCAATGTAAAGAACTTTGGCCTTTACGTGCGATGACACGTTTGTTAATTAGCAGCGACATTGTCGGATTCTTCGGCATCCCGCGCATTCCTAGCAACGCCCAACGTAGATCCACCGGCGGGATGTGATCCTTCTCCCGTCGCGCCGTTGATATGCCGTTACTGCAGCGCAGATGAGGAGGTACTGGCCGATCCGGCCAAGGAATCCGGAGGGGGCTTTAGCCGCTTAGAGTGATTGCTCCTCCAAGCAATCTTGGGTACGGGGCATCTACTACTGCCGCGCCGCCAACATGAGTTGTTTCTTGGTTGCCTGCCTTCCGGAGATGGAGGATACTCGCTCGGCCGCGTTGGCGCTGTAACCGGAGGCGGGCTGTGCAAAGATTCCCAGTCTTAGCTGGACGACGATGAGAGAAGAATCCTTCCTTTTGATGAAAGACTCAGGAGTCTATAATGCCGCCTCTGAAGATACATGCTTGACCAATCTCGACACTGTCCAAAATTGCCGCCATGCGGTAGCTTTGAAAGGTGAGCCGACCAATCCATCAGCGCTGCATCCTGCCAGGGACATCCTCGTACAAGACCATCTCGTAACCGATCTAGGCCGGTTACTCTCACCGGCACGACTGAGTCGTGTAACGCTCCGGCTCCGCACCGAGACGCATTCAGCATCCCAGTGCATGGCGAACCATAGAGCTGCCTAGGACTGGACATAAATTCGCGCTGACGGTCTCATCCTCGTCAGCTCCTCCCCCCTGACCGACACGCACTTGTCCTGGGCAAAGCTGGAATAAGGTACGCTCTTGGGTGTTTCCCCGAGTTCACCCCAATTAAACCGGGGCACTCACTCCCTCGGCTGCCGGGACATGGGCGTATTGTGGGCACGGCAGCAGCCCAATGATCCATCCCCCCCAAGGGATCCGCATGAATGTGGTGTCTCTGCGCCTCTGGAGAAAGCAGTGCAGATAAGCGTTCCGTCTCGAGCGTCCATCCGTCTGATATCGGAAGTATAGATAAGGGGGCGCATGACTTTACACTGACTTTGGGATGCGACTCACGGAAGTCTCAGAGGCACACGGATCGCCGTCAGCTTAGCGAATCAAGATGAAGATAGAAGAGGGAAGCGTGAGATTAGGAGTGAGGGGCTGATGGAAGGACGCTAGAAGGTCCAACAGAACGTCTTGATCTGGGCCGATGAGGCTATGACGCTGGGATATGCATGCCAAACCAGTTGCCTCCAGGCTGTTTCTGTGGCGGCCAAGCAGAAGAAGGTATCGGTAACTAGAGGCACTTTGCTACCGAATAGCCATTGTTCAAAGGTGTAGTGATTGGATCCCTCGATGCCGCGGTACCGGGAGCGCCATTGGCAACGCACGCTAAGTGAAGCTGGCGCATTGATGGCTCGTTCGAAACGAAGTTGGCAAATGGGATGAGCCGTCCAGCTCTTATCTCATGGCTACCTGTCAGATCGGTTCACTCCACGAGACGTCATAATCAAATGCTGTCACCAACGGCTTATCGCGCAGGAATGTCGAGCGCAATACCACGCCGCCTAGTCGGGGATTTCAGCAGGGCCACTGTTGGCTGTTGGTTGTTGGTTGCAGTTGAGCCATGGGTGCGCGTCGACTGAGACCGCAATTCGTGTGCAGACGTGGCAACCGACACTCCCGTGATAGGGCCTACACCGGCGAGGACGCGACGGTGTCGTGTTCTGCATGGGGGAATGGCAACGCCTAGAGACCTCCGACAGGGGGGTGAGACCCAATTTCCCATAAGCCCCCCTGCTGCCATTCCAAGTTCCAGTGGTGGAAACAAAAGCAGCGTCTGACGGACCTTCGGTCTGTAGATGCCAACGTCAATGTCCCTTACAGCTCGTGACGGTGGAACCAGTAAACGGGAAGATGAATAGAGCCAACCAGAGGATCGGGGAGTGTCCAAGAAACGGTCCCATCCGGAAGTAGAAGAAAAAAGCCAAGACGCTGTCCTGCGCGGGGTTGACGTAGCGGATGATTTACAGGCCATCACGCGACAGCACTGGTACAAAAGCTAGCGCGGGTGTGCTAGAAGCCTCGAGCCCGAAGCTGTGAGCGCGTGTATACAGTTGCTGGCTGTACCTTGGGTATCGCCCCCTGCCTTGTCCAGCTTCTGCACGCACGACGTCGGGGGTCTGCGAGGGTGAAAGGGGAAACCTGGGGCGGCCAAGATCAGCCCCTCCGCCTTGGTCCACCCACACAGGTGCATACCAATGTATAGACCAGCCAGTTGCCTGCGGGAGCGACAGCCAACGTTGAGTAGGTCGGAGTGCAATGCTTGGCGACGCAGAGCTTCCGTCAGTGCCGTGCCGAGCAGTAGCCTCCAAAGAGCCACTGCAACCCTAGCCAGAAGTCGAGCGAAACGTCCTTCGTGTGGCTTGCTGGCAACATTTCCCTTCCCAGTAAAGCCTCTTCGACGTCGACACGAATTAGACTCAACGACACTGACTGAGACGCGCAGGCTGCCCATGTGTCAGCGATTCATCCCAGCTTAGCGTATCTGGGCTCGTCTCCAGTGTCGCGGACTTGGACCTCTGGCTGGTCCTATTTTTTTTCTCCCCCTCACCGACCCAGACCCGGTCCTAATTCCCAAGGACTCGTGCTCTTCACTCCACTTGCGCTCCGGTCCCACCCACCGGTTCGAGGGGAGGAGGGTGAATGGATCCTTAGATAACGCTGGGAAGGGAGCGAGCATTGGGCGGGAAGGAGGGGCGGCGACAATTCGGAGCCATTTGCTAACGGCTTCAAGTGACACCATGACCATTGGCCAACCAGCGCTGATCTCGCTATCTGGAACTCGACTCTCAGATGTGCAATCGCCTGGACGGGGCGCGCTTCTCGGTGGAGAACCTGGAGAGCAGCTTGACTACCCATTACTGTGGTTCCCTCCTCGTTGCCCCCAGGGGCACTTGTGTTGCCGTACTCCATCTGTTGCGACTGCGACCGCGCAGCGGCTCTTTTCGGCCGAATATGGGTTTGTACTCGTCTTTGGGCTTTTGGTTGGTGTATGATGCATACCGGTAAGCTGTCCACGGGCAGCCCGGCCACACTCCTACCCAGACTCGACATTGGGTTAGCCTGTTAGCCTTCGCTCGTTCCCGTCGGCTTGCCTTAGGAAACGGTACGTATCGAAGCACGACCGAAAGCCAAATCGCCCCCATCCCACCCCAATCGTATGCGACAGGAAACGGGGGGTTGCAGTCCAGGGTTGCCTGCCACGGAGCCTGTCCTTGCCAAGATCAGCGTATTCCACCCGTCGAGAGAGGGGGGCAAAGCCGGATAGACCAACCCAACATAGTTCCAGTCCTGGACCCTCACCTCTTCCTACTCCTTTTGTGTGTAATTATCCTTCGTCAACGAAGCGCAACCTAGTGGTCTTCCGTGCATGACTGGACCCGCCTGCCGCCATTGACAAGAACCCTTAGTTCTTGCGCTCCTGTTCCTGTCTCGATCGGCGTTTCCTTCATAAAGCTCTTCCCTTCCCCGTCTCATCTGGCCAGAGTTGGTTCGGCATCCCTCTCCGTCCTTTCTCATTCCTTTCCGGGTCGAGCTCCCACAATCAATCTTTCGAAACAGGCATCTGTAGTCTGTCCACACCCCTCATAGGTCTTGAGTCTTACTTCCTGTCCTTTACGGAAGTTGCACACCATCACCATGGCTGCTCAAGAAGGGGCTATCCCCACCAAGGTTGAGGCCGACGAGAAGGCCATCAGCGGCCCTCCTGGCTACGATTCTGGCAGTGGCGAGCCCGTTCGTGGCGCCATTAGCGAGGAGTCCTGGGCGACTCGCGCCGGCTTGAACCTGACTTCGTTCAAGAAGCGCGAATATGGCCTTGGTATCGTCGAGCTCGACCGTTCCATGAGCACTCGCCATCTTCACATGATTGCCATCGGTGGCTCCATCGGTGCTGGTTTCTTCGTCGGTTCCGGTGGTGCTCTGAGCAAGGGTGTAAGTACCGCCGTTGGCGGAGGCAATGCCGCTTTCGTCGCCGTATTCGTCGCCGTATTCGTCCGAGTGTCTTTGCTAACCCGGCGCAGGGTCCCGGTTCCCTCTTCATCGACTTCCTTCTCGTGGGTATCATGATGTTCAACGTCGGTAAGTGTTGCGAAGTCGTTCTTGGTGACGAGCATACAGTGGCTGACATGGAGAAAAGTGTACGCCCTCGGTGAACTCGCTTGCATGTATCCCGTCTCTGGTGGTTTCTACACCTATTCCACTCGCTTCATCGATCCTTCCTGGGGTTTCGCCATGGGCTGGAACTATGTCTTCCAATGGGCTATTGTGCTTCCGCTCGAGTTGACAGTCTGCGGTCTTGTTGTCCAATATTGGAACAAGGAAATCAGTGTCGCCGCTTGGATCTCCATCTTCCTCTTCGCCATCCTCGTCATCAACATTTTCGGTTCCATTGGGTACGCCGAGGAGGAGTTCTGGTCGTCTTGCATCAAGCTTGGGGCTACGGTCGTCTTCATGATCATCGCCCTTGTCCTTGTGCTCGGCGGTGGACCGGAGAGCGGCAGATACAGCGAGTACTCGGGCGCCAAGCTGTGGTATGACCCCGGCGCCTTCCGCAACGGCTTCAAGGGCTTCTGCTCCGTCTTCGTCACGGCGGCCTTTTCCTTCTCCGGTACCGAGCTGGTCGGTTTGGCCGCAGCTGAGGCCAAGAACCCCGTCAAGTCGCTCCCCGGCGCCATCAAGCAGGTGTTCTGGCGTATTTCGCTGTTCTACATCCTGGGTCTCTTCTTTGTCGGTCTGCTGATCCCGTCCGACGACCCTTCTTTGCTCTCCGAGTCCTCGTACTCTGACACCAAGGCCTCCCCCTTCGTGCTTGTTGGCAAGTACGCCGGTCTCAAGGGTTTCGACCACTTCATGAACGTTGTCATCCTCGTGTCCGTCCTGTCGATTGGTGTGTCGGGTGTGTATGGTGGATCGCGTACCCTTACTGCCTTGGCCCAGCAAGGATATGCCCCCAAGATCTTCACTTACATCGACCGCTCCGGACGTCCCCTGGCGTCCGTCGCAGCCATTCTCATCTTCGGACCGTTGGCGTATGTCAACCTCAGCGCTAGCGGACCTGTTGTGTTCGATTGGTTGCAGGCTCTTTCGGGTTTGGCGGCTGTCTTCACATGGGGATCTATCTGCCTGGCGCACATCCGCTTCCGCAAGGCCTGGGCGTACCACGGCCACACTACCGACGAGATTCCTTTCAAGGCGATCGGCGGCACTGTCGGCTCCTGGATTGGCCTCTTCTTGTGCTTCGTCGTCCTTGTTGCTCAGGTATGCATATTTTGTCGCTGATCAAGACTTGAGAATGAAATGCTAACAAGACGATACAGTTCTACACTGCGATTGCCCCTCCCGGCACGGATAAGCTGAACGGCGCTGAAGGCTTCTTCAAGTCGTACCTTGCTCTCCCTGTTGTCATGCTTTTCTGGCTTGGTGGCTTCCTCTGGAAGCGCACCGGCTGGCTTCGCACGGCGCAAATGGACGTCGACACTGGCCGACGTGAGCTTGACTGGGACGAGATCCACGCATACCGCGCGCGTCTTGCGGCGATGCCCAAGTGGAGGCGTTACATCAACTACATTTGGTAATTGGAGCTGGAGAGAAATGGAGACAAAACATGGCCATTTCTGCGCTTGGAAAGAGCGTGCAGCGAGGCTTTTTTTCGTCCGTTCATGTACATTGTAATACCGAGGCGTCCACCGATCGGCGACGTGCCTCTTGGAATGAGTTGATTCATTCTGATAGTTAGCAAAATCAAGATACCACGAGTGCTTTCACAGACAACATACCTGGCTGGAGTAACAAGACGATGCGTGTGCATGATGATTTCTGAAGGCTGCTGCTGATCAATGTGTTTTGCGCTACCCGTTTAACATGTGTGTCCGCTGACACGGAGGACGGCGAAGAGAGAGGCGTTAGGAGGAGCGATAGCATGTTATACTTCTTTCTTGCTGGTAACCATGAATGCCAAGGCCCTATGGGAGCCTGGGCACCTATGAGGGAAGAAACCCTGGGATGGTGGCGCAGGCCGATAGCGGTGATTGCACAGGTCATCCAGCACTTAATGAGCGATTGTTCTTGGGGGACCAGGGCTTCGTCGAATAGAATGCCCGGAGGTTTTCTTGAAGTGTCTTGGGTGACTGGCGTCAAGATAAGGGCGACCAGCCCAGAACAGCAGGTGGCAGGGCATCGTCGGCGGTGATAGCTGTAGATTGCGTTTGCGGAAGATAGGGACCCAAGTCGCCAAGATTGCCGGGGCAGAGCTTCGAATCGTTCCAGGTCGGGGGCTCCCTGCAAAGGACGTCGTCCACTGGCGGTGTCGGTATCGTTGGCAACGGCGGCGATGAACACCGGTGGTATCCTGGTGTTGAGGTGTAAGTGTTGCTAGTGGGAGATGGCCTCGCCAGTGACGGATGACAACCGGAGATGCACCCTTCAAGGTTCCCACGCCGTCCGTGGAGTCGAACGGGGTCACGTGTCTCCGGGCCGAGAATGATTCGGTAAAGGGAAAGAACCGTCAACAGGTTTTCATTGTGTTTAGGGTGGAAGGTGGTGTTGCTTCTTGTATCTTTCCCTCCGTCTCTCCCGTGATCGGGAGGTGGTTCCTTCCTCGCCTTTAAGACGACCCTCAGTTGGCGTGACAGGGTGACAAGAACGCCCTGCAAGTGATTGGGGGCGCGACAATGTCATTTTCCGGCGCCCTTCGACCCCGATTCTCCACACAAATGCCCCGCTTACAGCTGTCATATCTACTATCTAGGGTATAGGTAAGGTACAGGGTACCTTATACCATCCCCCAAGTCCCGCTCCAGATTTCCTCTTCTGTTGTGCAAGGGAAACTCTCACCATTGTGCTCTTTATTTACTTCTCACTTACTCCCTCTATCACACCCACACAATCCATTATTCATTATCGGTTTGCAGTCCGACTAGGGCGGTCCTGCCAAAGAATCCTGTGAAGAGTCCTATCTCGAGCTCTTTCATGGTACAGCTCTCCACCTACTGCCCCGGCCCTCCAGCCCTCCAGACATTGTAATATGCGTGTTCATGTGCCATTTGCCTGCATACAAGGGGCACTCGGATATAGGATCAGGTATCCGCAAGCTGTCGTCTTTCATAAACGTTGCGCTTATGACAACTGTCTATTTTAAGTCAAGGCCTGGTCACAGTCACAATCGCTTTATGTTCCATCACGCCAACGCAGGCGATGGCCCACGATACTTGTTGCCGCACTGCGCAAAGAGTCATCGCTGCAGATACTCTGTCTTCACGTTTTGCCAATAGAGATTTATGGGGTAAGAAAGGCGCGTGTATACATAGCCGCGGCAGTGAAAAGCCTGGCACAGGGTTTGAAATTTCTTGAGATGGTCTCAAGTTCCCCTTCTCCAAGAACTATGAACGTCTCTTTCCGTAGATACAAACTTGTAGATTTACAAACTTCTCGGATCAGATCTCATGATGATACCCCCAATCTTTTGCAATTTGGTATTTGGGGGCCAGGCAGCCAAGCACCGCGGCCGCTTCTACGCCGGGAATGTAAAGTGGAGATCCGTGCTCGGCCAAGTGGGGTCCTGTCAGCCGCAGTGCGCCCCGAGTTTTGCGCCGCGGCGCAAAACTCTCGACGCTCGATCCATCATCAAAAGCCGCCTGTCCCATGTCGACATCAACCCACATCCATCACCTCCATTTATTGTCGTACCTGAAGCCTCGGGCATCTCACTGCAAACAGGTTGCGTAAAGGAACCTGAATAACCATTCTCTCGTCCAGCATCTGGGTTACTTTGCGACGTCGCCATATCCTCACCCAGGCTTTCAATCGGCCCCACTAGACCCCGCTGGCGAACATGAGCCCACAGCCACCAGAAAAGGGGGAGGGGCCCGTCTCCGGGAATGCGGGTTCACCCGATGGGAACACTCGAAGCAACGACGGTTCGCCACGCTCAGTAGATGTCGAGGAGGCCGATGCCCATGTGGGCACTGGTGAAGCCCAGCAAGAAGAGGAGAGTTTCGTAACGACTCGGTTCGAACCGCCTCCGAACCGGCTTCGAGCCAGAGCCCGTCTCCCACGGTTTCTTAGCAGACCTTTTTCAGGGCGGCAAGATGACGATAAAGACGAGTTGCCTCTGAAGAAGGATCCGGGGTCTGCAGTTCAGGGCCAGAGCGACGGCCGTCACCCCGTTCAGCTTCCTTCAACGGACCTCCACCCAGACGCCCCCGAAACGCCTTCATCGGCGCAACTTCCCACGAAGAGGAAGAAGATGAAGATGAAGACGGTACCCAGAAGTGCACCCCGGAGTGACGAGTTAGCCGATGCCACTGCTGCGATTTCGCCAGGCGCTCTCTTCAACGCAGAAGCAGAAGGGAAATACCGTGGCTCCGAGCCCCAGGTTCTGAAAGGGTTTGGCTTCGGAATGCATAAACGCCAACTCTCATCAGAGATTTCAATGGAACTCAAGGCAAAAGAATCGATTGATCCCTTTGGCTCATCCGGAAAGCCTTCACCAAGTCTGGTGAAAGCATCCCACTCATCTATCTCAAAGCCCATGAGCGGAGAAGACTTTGACGACAGCTCTCCTGGCGTGGAAAATGAGGTACATCAAGAAATCGAGGATCCTTCTAAAGATTACCAGAGGATCATGGTCGACAGGGTCATGTCAACGTTCATGAACTGGCTGGACACGAAGCTGAAGGTCAAGAGAGAAGATGAGTCGCCCGAGTCAGAGTCACAACTGATGATGGTTGCTTCCCGGGGTTCCGCCAGCGAGGACGATGTGAGCGACGTGGACGAGTGTCCGGCTTCTGTCGCTCCAGTATCTATGCCTAGGTATATGGCCTATTCTGTAAAAAGTCGCATAGAGTCTATGTCTTACGCCCCGCCGCCAAGTCGTCGAACCGATGCGGTCTTCAGATCGGCCTCGTTAGTACCATCGCTGCCGCCGCCGCCGCCGCCGCCGCCGTTACTACCAGCACCAGGAGCACAGAGTCGCATCCCTGAGCAGGGACAAAAGGTCGGTGTGATCCCTCAGCTTTCCATGAACCAGCCCTTGGTCCCCAACGCATTGAGGGCTGCCCCGCCCTCTTCCCTCCTAGCTCCACCAGCGAACCTCCAATTGGGAGTACCATACAGAGTATCATCAGCTCCTCATGTAGTGGCAGCAGCGGCTCCGCAGCCAAAGCAACGAAGTGCCCGTAGTTTTCAGGGAAGGGGAGTACAAACTTCGGGGCTCTCTGCACGGCGAGGCAGGAAGAGGCCCGATAAGCATGGGAGGTCAGCAGATGAAAACAAAGAGGAAGGGGACGAGGATAGCGATGAGGATGGAAACAACCCACCTCGGGCAAAGCTGTCCAAGGTTCATGAAGACAGAGAAAACGGCGCGAAACTCGCTTGCCCATTCTTCAAACATAACCCTCGAAAGTACAAAACCCAACGCCCGTGTTGCGGGCCAGGTTGGGATCATGTCCATCGCATCAAGCACGTCACTATCCTATCATACCATCAAACAAGACGCTAACCATCTCCCAGGGAACACATCTACCGCAAGCATTCGCTCCCTAAATACTTGTGCCCACGCTGTTCTCAGCCATTCGAGACCCAGGCAGATCTTCAGGCACACGCTCGCTCTGCAGACGCCTGTGAGGTCCGCGAGCCGGAGGTGCTTGATGGTCTCACTCAAGACCAGGAGAAGAGGCTCCGCTCGCGCAAGAAGACGTCCGCAAAGGATCTCACTGAGGCCGAGAAGTGGACGCAAGTGTACAGCATCCTGTTCCCAGACGTGAGAGAAAGGGAGATCCCGTCACCGTGTAAGTCGGGACCGTGCCCTCGCTTGATACATGGGGCTGGAAGTACTGACAAGGGCAGACTACAACGCGGAAGATGCCGATACAAGTTTGGGAGGCTATGAAGATTACCTCCGTCGCGAGCTCCCGCCCTTGGTCCGCCGGCAACTCGAAAAAGAAGTTGAGCGCGAGCTCAGTTTCGTCGAGGAAGGGATGAAGCAGAAAGTGATCGATATCGCCCGGAACCTCCAACTGACGCTCTTCAAGGGCTATCAACAGCTCGAAAGGCAGGAGCGCGGGGTGCAAGATCCAATTAGTGTCGATGTATCAAGTCACCAGACGGACGGTTCTACCTTCTCGGCAACTGACATGTCGCCATCAACCATGACGACTAGCGGCACGACGCCGGAGATCCCCGACCCCTTGGAGATCTTTAGCGACCACGCCATCCCAGACTTTGACTTCAATTTCCTCTCTGATATACCTTTTCCTGAACAGCAGCAGCAGTTCAAGGAGCCGAATCTTGGTTTTGGATTCGCGCAGGCATTCGATACCCAGCAGCCTGCCACGATTCAGCCAGGCATGGAACTACTTAATGGGCAGCAAAACAACTTGCTTTACTATGGATTAGAAGGCTATCAGAACAGTCGGGGCCATATGAGGGACACTGAATCTCTTGGTTACGTCCCGTGAGTTACGACATCGATTTGCGCCAAGCTATGACAGCAGCTAGTTGTTGCACATGATACCCTGGAGGCCTTTCCTGGCCTCAAGCCATTTTTCCTCTATGCCTCACCATGCATGATTCGTGAATGAAGTTGTAGCCCGGACTCCGGTCGTACAGCATTTCAAGAGTGTGATTCCATTAACCCGAAATGGCACAGCGTGAAATGTCGGCGGTGTAGTGCCCCCCCATCTCCGTAATCCGACGTGGAATTCCGGAGGGTGAGACTTCGGAGGTACGCTAGCCATTTAATCCTAAAGCCGCGACTTAAGGGCACACTGCTTGTGCTGACTGCGCCAGTTCCTTTCGGATTCGGAAAACAATCTCACCCGTGCATGTCTTGGGTTTTCTCCTGTTGGACGCCACGCGCTCGTCTGCCTGGTTTGTCCAAGCCACTTTGCAGCCAATGCTTACGTTGACCCAAACCACACCTCTGCTGTCATGATGGCTGGGGCTGCATTCGTAATGCTCACAACTTGTGCCGCAGACCGTAGATTGGTTCGTTGGCTATCTATATAAAAGCTAGAAATCACAACATCTGCGAATATGATCCTTTATCACAGTGCAAGAAGTACAGCAATATTAGAATCCCAACATAATGAGTGCCGCATTAAAAAACGCTTTCCCTCCGAAGGCTACCCTTACCGAGGAAACCTTGCCGGATCAGAGCACCAAGGTAAACATATTTTCCGCTATCGGATGTATCTCACATCTCACACCTCATAGGTCTTCATCGTCACCGGTAGCTCAAGTGGTTTGGGTAAGGAGCTCGCAAAGATCCTCTACTCGAGAAATGCCAAGGTGTACCTCGCAGCACGGTCCGAGACGAAAACCATGGCTGTGATCAACGAGATGAAAACCTTGTACCCGCAATCCAAAGGGCACTGCGAATATCTGCATCTGGATCTCAACGACCTCACGACCATCAAGCAGTCTGCGCAAAATTTCCTCCAGAAGGAGAGCCGCCTTGATGTCCTCTGGAATAATGCAGGCGTAATGACCCCGCCTCAAGGATCCAAGACAGCCCAGGGCTACGAACTTCAACTCGGCGTCAATGTACTAGCGCCGTTCCTCTTCACCCACTTCCTTCACCCGGTGCTATCTGCCACGGCCAAAGCCGCGCCGAGAGATTCCGTTCGAGTGGTCTGGCTGTCATCGGGCACCGCGTCCATGGCTCCTAAGCCCGCGATCGATTTCAACAACATGGACTACGCAAAGGACGAGAGCCCGTGGACAAAGTACGCGAGAAGCAAGGCGGGCAATGTTTTGATTGCGGCCGAATTCGCTAGACGGACAACCGATGAGGGCATCATCAGCATGGTAGGCAAAGTCCACTCTTTTGGGAGAATTCGATCACGCTTACAATGAAAATCAGAGTGTGGACCCCGGTGTATACATGACGGACCTGCAACGTACAATGCCATGGTATCAGAAAGCCCTTGCGGTAGGTCATGTTCGACGAATCAAACAACCGCCAAACCTCTGGTCAGTTGCTAACGGACTTCATCATGAGGTAGAAACTCATCGCGCGCGAACCAAAGAATGGTGCATACACTGAGCTGTTCACCGGTCTTAGTCCCGACATCACCGGAGCGAACAACGGAGGCTGGGGTAAGTATCACTCGAACATCCGACTCAATGACATCTGTTAGTTCCTGACTGAATTTGTAGTTGTGCCATTTGGTCGGCTTGCTTCTGCCCGAGCGGATCTTGTGGAAGCGGATCTTGGGAAGAAGTATTGGGGCTGGGTGGAGAAAGAGGTTACACCGTATCTCGCGTGATGGACATAACTCCCCGAATGCCTTCTTTGGACATGAGCTTGTAACACCAACAATTATAGACATCCATAGCCTTAATATTCTTGTAGTGTTTTGAAAAGTGTTGATGTTCTTGTCAGTGTCTTAACACAGAGTCAAATGTTACTAATGCATATGGCAAGATGTAACTTCGTCCTAGGCTCCGTTGATGTCAATGCCCTGTAACAACCTCCACCACTCGTTGGCAGGTCATATACCGACCTTACATCCCTTTCTTAAGTGTAAAAAAACGGTTCTAAGAACCAGAAATAGGCCTCAGCTGCCTGTGGAACATTGCATACAAGCCCCGTGCATAAGCATTGAGCTCATCGTAAGGTGCCAACAACGAAAACCAAGATTCAGCATGTCAAGACAAAATGTCGTGATGGTCGTTTTAAAACGGATCCGTGAGTCACAGGATGATAGCATTCGAACGAAAACATGGTCAGTGGATGAAGGTGACTTCGGATGTTCAATTTGAAGCCGTCTGAGTTTGTTCTCATGAATAAGAAATACTAGACGGCTCGCCGTTTCTCTACAATGGACAAGGTTGGAGAACATTGAGTTGACCAAGCAGTCACAGGCATCTCCTCGAGGTTTTGGTATTACAACTAAGGTGCCACAGTGTTCTTTGATTGCTACTGCCGGACAATGGTAAGGTATCCCCAAACTTCTGACATGGTTAGCTGTCAAACTCAATGCACTCATAACTGTTTCATAGTGATGTAACGTCTAGAGTGTTTCTTGAATTAATGTTAAACGACTGTAATTAAAGAACGATATCGAGCCTTAGTTGAATGGCTCAAACTCCCACGCCTTGCAGTAGTCAGCATCCTTATTGGAAAGAACCGTGCCCGTTGGTGTATCCTCTAGCCCGACCGACTACAACTGATTACAACCTCCCGCTTCTGTTGTCTTCGCTGAGTTTCAAGATTGAAGGCAAGTCGTCGCCTTGAATGGATTCGAAAATACTACCAAGACCGCCAGCTCGCCTCTTCTCTTCTGCCCTCCTGAAGAACTCCTCCGCGGTCTTGATCCTATTCGGGTGGATCTCGTCCAAGAACGCGTAGTCCCGCTTGATGACCCCCTTGTTGCCTGCAGAGTGGGACCACAAGTTCCAGAAACCGGAGAAGTTGTCCTTGAACGACATCGTTGCTGGGTCCGCCGGGTCAGCGTTGTACCCAGCGGGTTGTTGGGAGAGCGGGATGTGATCAAAATAGACGTTCGTGGGAGTGTCGATGTACTGAGCAGGTTTGCCTGTGACCTTTTGAAACGCTGCGGCTAGATCGGCGTAGTGAATATGATCGATGGCAACCTCCAGATCCATTCCGTCAGACTTCTGAGGGTGGTCGAAAAGCCAACGGACATAGTGCTCGCAATCATCAAGAGCGACATGTGGAACCGCGCCATCACCGAGCGGGGCTCTCCAAGTAACAATCCCGTTCTCAACTCGCGGGGTCATAAGTGTTTTCGACGAGATTGTCATCTCGATGTATGGCCCTGTGGTAAAAATCGCAACACCCATGTTGTTGGTCTTTCTCTGTTGCAACATCCACTCCGCCATGCGGCCTTTGGCATCGTAGTGCCCGCATCGAAACTTCGGATCATAGCCGCTCTTTTTGTAACCGTAGTCGAGATTGCCGAACACAAAGAACTTGATTCCAAGCTCAACGGCGAGCTCATAGCAGCGGATGGTCCAGTAGATTTCCGTCTTCTCGCCGCAGTTGAAACCATCGATGTTGATAAAGGCGCCCCAGCACCCAGCAAACCCCTTGCGTAGGTCGGCCTCGTTGGCAAATGTTCCCTCAACAAACTCAACGTCTCCGAGTTTGGCAAGTTGCTGTGCCCGAGCAGACGTTGAATCACGCGTGAGAACGCGCAGGCTGTACCCGCCTTCCTTGGTGAGCCCACGACATACGGGCAGGCCTTGAGCACCAGTAGCGCCAATGACAAAAATTCGGCGAGTGTTCATGATTGAAAGTTTTATTTTATATGCGCTCGGTGATGCTTTGAGATGATGGTATTGATGCTTTGTAGTGCAGTTTGTGAAAAGCGCATTTATGTGATGTTATGACTTGAGCGCAACTTAGGAACCGAGTACCGCCCTTATGTACTATTTCTTTTGTGCCTCCAATATCGCACCATGTTGATCGAAACACAACTTACATGTGTTATCCAGATTACTGAACGTCTTCGTCAGGTAACACGAAGGCTTCGTAACCAGGTCGTGATTAGTGATCATAGTGCACAATTTCTGATCAGTAATCATTCATGTCAATGCTGTAAGCATGGCAATAAGTGGTGGCTGCGGTCAGACATCTACTTCTGAATCTAGGCACTATGCACAATTCTATTTTCTCTCAATGTCTTACAAATGATACTCTTTCGGGTTTGCAACTTTGATGCCCCGACGTTCCCATACGCTATCGATATTCATATCCTCTTTACCGCTGGATAATCATCAGCTGATAATCTTACGTGCATCCAAACAACAATGACTTACTCATCTCGCATGATGACGGTGGGCTCTGTCTCCCCAGCTGCAACATTGGGGTTTCTAAAGACCATGTTTTTTGTCTGGAAAGGGGCAAACACGTGCAAGTCAGCATCGTCTGACGATAAGATGTTGAGGGGTTCTTACCAGTCCCAAAGAGAGATGGATCGCCGGAGGGCTGATTGTGAGTGTCTCAACGGGCTCCCGACCCTCAACCAAAGCGACAATATTCTGGGCCACCACCTGCGCTTGCACAGCACCAGGACGGGCAGCTTTGTGTGCTCCGGTATCGGCGATGTCACCAGCAGCAAATAAATTGGGGTACGCCGGATCCTTGAACTGAAGCGTAGGCCGTACTTTTATAAATCCGTTGGATGGGTTTAGCAAAGGAGCGCCGTCGCTCGGCTCCAGAGTCTGGATAAACCTGCTGTTGGCTGTTTGACCCGTTGCGGGAATGACGAGGTCGGTCATGAGTTCGCGACCATCTGTGAGCTTCACGGCAATCTGCGCATCATCTCGAACGAGGCTGCCAGAAGGGACTACGGCGCGCGTTCCAGTGACGAGTCTGTAACCTCGAAGGTCAGCATTGCACCACAGGCATGATATAATCTACTGACTTGACACCCAACTCACTGAAGCGAGACTTGACGATTTCGTCCAGCTTGCTGTGATACAAAGGCATCAGATGCTCGCGAGAATGCACAAGAGTAATCTCCTTGTCCGGGTAGAACTCCTTCAGATCGGTCGCCATCTGAACACCTACGGCACCACCTCCGACTATGACGATCGACGAGGCTTTGATGACGGATTCCTGATACGATCTAAGATACTGGACCGAAGACGATTTGTCGTCATGTTGCATAGTGCCGGGCGCCGGTAGCTCAGTGCCCGTTGTGACGACGAGGTAATCATATGAGATTTCGGCTGACCCCTGCCAGTCTCGGTCAAGTACAACGCTGTTACGGCGGAGGGAGTTGGCGCGGGCCTGGATAACTTGGTGGCGTGACGAGTTGGGTGATCCCGCGAAAGCTGCGGAATATGGGATAAAAGCCTTGTGCTCATGCTTCGGTACAACGGAGAAGCGAGGCTAAGAAGAATGAGTTGTCTCTCAAGTATAGCTCGGGACTTTCTCACGACTCACAAATGCAAAAAGGTGGTGGAAATGGCTGTGCGGTTCAACGAGTAAGATCTGTGGCTGAGTGTTAACAACGTCTACCGTGTATTTTACTCAAAACAGTCTTACACGATGAGATGCCGGTAGTGCAGCTGCTAGCTCTTTAGCAGCAGCCTACACATACAACGTTAGCGATTGTACTGATCAAAGCAGGTAATGGCAGCACATACAAGTCCGACGTAAGAGCCGCCGAGAATGACAACATTTTTGAGTGGTTGAAGCATGATATCCAATGACTGAACAGATAGAGATGGTTAAAGTGTCAATGAAGAAGATGGGTTTTGACGAGGCCATGAAATAGAAGGTTAAGCTAACTGTCTGCTCGGAGTTACTCGGACATGGAGATACTGAACGGAGACAGAGTCTAAGCTCTGGCAACAAACTAAAAAGCGGTTGCACAACGAAATCAGAACGTAAAAGCGAGCCTTATCGGCTGCGCTGATAAGGAAACATGCATAGCTACAGTAAAAAATATCTCCGAGGTAAGGTGTTGTAGCTGGTGCAATCTGGATCCCCTATTGACGTTGTAGAGCTCGGCGTTAAACCCTCGGCGAGCACAGTTAAAACTGCACCGATTGGTTCATGATGGTCCGACATATCCGGGTTGCCACAAATAAGTCCCTCCTGACGAGTCAGGTCAGGTTTCAATGTTGAGTATTTCTTACTACTCAGAATTACGAGCGAAAGCATATCCAATTCAATTCGTTCACACTGCCAGTAGAAGCTGTTGTCTTCAAGGCGTCTTGCAAGACGCAATGATCTAATAGTTGTCGAAAGGTCGGAAATACAAAATGAATGATGATCATGGTACGTATGAGTACAGGCCGCTCGCGATGACAGGATTAGTATTACTGGTATGTGGCGGTCAAGCAACCGTGTTGCGACTCGTTCTTTACAGATTGTATTAATGCTGTTGCTCAATGAGTCAACTCTACACCAAAAAAAGTGAAGAAACTCCATCTGCACCGTGCCTCTCAGGTGTTGGTAGAGAACCGTTGCCTGTCCGTCCAATGTGTAGTTCTATGTTGAGAGGCCATGTTTCTGTGGCTATGCAGCGCTTAACTTGACAGGACTATTGGACCTTAAATCTTAAGCCATGATAAGCGGAACAGCGCTTGATTTCTTGTGCATGACGCGAAAATTCGGTCATGTATCACATACCGATGTTGACCACAAGGCAATTATGGGATCTAAACTGCACTAGGTCACATCTCCAACGGGGACCACTTCCGACGACCTTGAGCGCTTAAAATCGTGTGCGAATCACAAGCAAATTGACAACAGGAAACATGTAAGAGAACGGGGGGCGTGTAAGCGCGTCTTAACTCTCGACTGCGCCTGCGGTGTTGGTGACAGCTGCGGAATTCAAGTTTGCTGCGGTTATTGGCCAGGCAGGATAGCGACATCCTTTAGGTATTTGGTTGAGGTAGCCGCCGGCCCGCAGCTCCATAATCAACCGTCTTCAACAATATCCTACTCTCCCCGAGTTGGTTCACTTTATCGATCATCAAACTGTAATATTTCTGCTTGCTTCGGGAACGATGGGGCGCGACGATGTACTGCGTCAGAACGGCAATGAAGTGCCCATGAAGATGAACCACGTAGAACCGCCAAAGGAACGAAGAAGCGACACCGCCAACAGCCCCACCTATACGAACGGCTCCGACCCTCCAAGTCACGATGGGACGGACGATGAGTCCTCAGAGAGAACAAGACGGCTACTTGAGAATCACCTATCCACCTCACATCTTGAGAGTCTACCGGCCGAACTAAGATTCGAAGTGCTCTCGTGGATGCCCGACCTACCGACATTACAGTCCGTAGTTCACGCGTCGCCTGTTCTTCACGCCCAATATCGAGAACATCGCAACACAATTCTCCGCATATGCCTGGGTCGTGAACTCGATGGTTTCTACATCGATGCCCATGTCAACTTGATGTCTCGTGTGGGAATACTTGGAAGTCCCAGAGGGGACGGTAAAGTCGCCTCGATTCTCTACCAGTATGGGCTCTGTCTCTCGGGCTCGGCAAAATCTCCAAATATAGATGACCCGAGGAATGGTGATATACGCTGGATGGCGGGATTTCATAATTCTGTCGTTCGACCACTCGCTCATCTTTATAGCGTATGGCGGTTGCCAATCTCAGATTTGCTACCTCATCGGGAACAAACATAGCAGAGACGGCAGAGGCTCCAGAATTTCAACGCCATCAGATTACTACTCTAAGTAGAAGTGAGGAGATACGCCTGTTCCGGGCCCTTTATCGGTACGAAACCTTCCATCACCTCTTCGGTAAGAATAGGGGCAGGCACGCAGGTGGCTTCCGCCTTAACATGATCAACGAATATTTTTGCTGCCTGTTTGATCCCTGGGAAGTCGAGGCTATTGGATGCATCGGTTTATTCTTCAGACAAAAGTACGCGGATATATTCAACGATATCGAGGCTGATCTCGATCCAGCAAACAAAAAAATTCAGGCAACCTGATGGGGTCCTCAATCCAGAGGGATCATTCTGTCTTGAAGCAGAAGGGAATGGTAGTTCTGAACCCTCAAAAAAAAACCCCTCATCAAAAACCGCTGACATTACCTTCCCAACAGATTGGATGGAGGGCATCATTTCACGAGGCCTGCAAGCTGCCGTACGTCTATTCAAGATTAGCGATCACGACTTGCTAGTGGCCAAAATGGCGCGCGCTCTCACCCCGCAGCAACAAAAGGATGCATCTTTAAAAATGGCTCTGAGTATAATCGCGCAAGATGACAGGCGTGATCTTTCCAATAGCTTCCCTAACTCAAGAGACAGGGCTGAGCAAAGGAGGGATACACTGGCATTTACTGGTGATGTAGTGCCGCCCAATACGCCACCACTTGGATGGGTTCTGCTCTGGAACGAAACGTACTCGAATGCCTATGGGGCCTATGTACCAGAGTCATTGAGGCGATGTGGCTATGTGATATGGGATGAGAGGCGATTGATTGACATTGGAGCAAAAGACTTTGTTTTCATGCAGTGGGAAAAGGCCCCAGAGCTAGTCGAGGCAATCATAGAGGATCGGTTCTGGAGTCCCCTGGAAGGTCAAACAGATCAGATGGAGGACCATACAGATGCAATCGAGTACATTTCGGAAGCTGTAGAGGATCAGTCAATTTCGGTAGAGGAGGCAACGGATACAGTGAAAGCGTTTGGGCATACAGATTCGGTGGCCTCCAGGGCTGACGACTTGTTTATGTTATATCGATAGAATGACAAGAACATGGCTTTCAGTAGAAGGTGAACTCTAAAGAAAAACCAAAAATTAGCATGGGGAAAGCTTGCAACTAAAACACGATTTGTTCTGCTGTAATGTTGCGGAGTTTTGATCTTGAGTAGGCATGGCAGTAGACACTCCCAAAGACCTCTGGTAGCCAAATCAGCAGCTTCGTCGTCAGAAACGTATTTGATCCTCTGAAAGCGTTTGGAATTCATTTCAAACACTTTCAAATTCCTGAAAGCTTATCTTGGCGTCTGGTAATTGTCAGGGGCCATGTCATAGGCTTCATCCACGATCAGTAGGACTACACCATCACGCTATGCAAGAAGTCAGGGCCCCGTCCAGAAGGGGCAGAAGATTGTTACCGAGGTCTTCTGTGGCATTGAATGGGAATAGTTTCTTCTCAATCTTCATATGTGTGCCACGAACTCATGAAGTACCTTTTCGGCTGGACTATTCTTCGGTTCTGCAGGCAGAACGCCATGCAAGTAAACCATATCATGTAGGACAACGGACACTATAGATCATAGATGTACGATCTATCAGAAACATGACAACTTGTTCAGTCTTAGAAGTCCATTCGAATTATTCATTGGAACAAAGCACTAGATGCCATATCGAATCCTCAATAACATGTGCGTTGGAAGGAATTAACTGAACAGTATATTGTCTATAATGTGATACAGACTCATTTATGGGCTTCTTCCGACATTCGAACAGCGTCTAGACGACAACATACTACTAAAGAGCCACAATATATCGCAGCTGACACAGTACTGTGTACACCATCCGCCTCGGAAGGCAAATCGAACGAAACCGATCCGCCATTCACAGATGAGATGAATTTCAAATTGCGAAACTATCCCCTCTTGCTGAAATTAGCGGTATTTATGATTATGACGCAGAAAGCTTGCAGTTGTTTAAAACTAACCCCATAGCTATTTCCTAGCCTGCTACAGATGTGCTGCTGTGCTGCCAGCCAAGTGCTGAGCTTGTATGGGCAGACCGGTGCTGGCTTCACCGCAACAAAATGGTATCAGTTGTCCTATTGCTAAAATGTATATAGTTTCTAAATTCAATTTGCTAGCTTGTAAAGAAGCGGATTGCAATTCAGTAGATCTTGCATACAGATATGAACGAAGATAATTTCCAGGTCCCATACCGGTTCACGTCTGCGTTATGACCACCCATTCTCTACCATCGCGAATCACTTTCAGAGACCGAAGACGTGAGTAATTTTAGATGAAAAGAGGCAGAAAAATACCAAAGACTTTTGAACTTGAAGTGAGAAGAATTTAGTCCGCTTGGACCGTTTGAACTTTTGTCTTTCGGTTCCTCAAAAGCCGTCTTTAGCTCCTCGCTGTGATCAAACAAGGGTGACCACCGACTTAGTAGAAGCTGTCTCCTCCGGTCCAAAGTTTTTGGAGGGCTGCAACGCCATCCCGATCCTCTTCATGCACCCCGCACGCCCTTTATTGGGAGTAATGAGAAGCGCATGAGCAAAACCGGATTCCCGCTCCGGGTCGGGCTTCAAGGGATATCCGTACACGAAAGCAAGCACAAGGGCGTACACGTCTGTTGACTTGAAGAACTTTTCAGTGTCCTCCGATTTCCCATCCATAGTGTCGAGCAAAAGGAGAGAGTCTTCAGTCCCCCTTTCACTCCGCAGCAATAGGTGCCCCGTTGGCCCTTTGTTGTCAGACAACACCATCTTGATAAGAGGGGCCTCGAGTTTGATCCAGCCGTCCTTGACGCGGCCGAAGGGGTTATCACCATCGATGACGACCCTTGCATCAAGAACCTGGGCCTGGAGCTCCGCCTCGCCTAAGAAACCCGTTGCAGGTATGCCGTCAACGGAGGCCCAAGACCACGACGGAGCGCGATATCCTCCGGAGGCAGGTTTGCAATCCAGGGGCTGCCAGCATAAGTCCTCGATCAGCGACTTCCGCCAGAGGCCTGCAAGATACTCGTCGTCGAGAATCTTGCTGAATGTCTTGGCAACGCCAGAGATGGCGGGTAGTTTGTCGGCCGGGTTCGTTAGTTCGCGTGGACCGTACTCAGATAGCAGATGAGGCCATACCCGCAATGACGAAGCAGGTCGATCCATCTCATGATGGAGGTCTTGGTTCTCTTTATTTTTCTTGTCGATGTAAGCAATGACTTCAGGGTCAGGGTTGACGCAGGGAAGTCGGTATGGAAGCCTGACGCCTTCCTCGGATTCGAATCCTTCAAGGCACTCCCAGCCAAGCTGCTCGCTTCCGAAATGTAAGACACGGCGGGCGAGAACACGCTCCTGGAAGCCCCAGGCTCGCTTGGTCAACGGTTCGTTTTCCATTGTTGTATGATTATCTGGGATTATTTCTTTGTCCAGGGGCACGACGGATGCAAGGAGGTATTTGCTCCCTGCGTCGGAACCACTACGAGGAATCTTGAAGTAAGATCTCGGCTTTCGCGCAGACAGAAGACCACCACTAGTGTTGGACGACTTTGCCGCTGCGAGAGTCAGATATGAGTTCGAATAAACGGCAGCCATCTGAGCTGACTCCCGTTCCCAGTCTTTCAAGTCGTTCTGGCAGATGCACAAGCTATCAATCCAAATATATCGGACCCCAAGGTTGCGGGTCATGACCACTGCGTCGCGGAGAGTTTGGGGAAGTGCATCGAGCTCGATGCCATGTTTCCGGACGTGCATTGTTTCACTGGTCGTCATGAAGTTTCCCGATCCCTGTCCCCAGCAGTAACTGAGGGTAATATATCGATCGCATGTACCGGCGTCTGGCTCGACGAGTTTGATAATGGAACCAGAGTCCTTGGTACCAACATCGACAAGACGGGTCGGTAGAACCGACCTGCCGCGATTGCAGCAATGGGGATGTTTGTCACATTCCTGGAGCCAGTCTTTAATGAGGTTCAGAGTTGTCTGATCTGGAAACTCTCTCAAAACGCGATCTGATGAACCGGAAGAGAGGGGATCATCTATATTTCCGTTTAGTGTTTGGTGCATACTTCAAACTGCACCAAGTGAATTCTTTACCTTCGTCAGAAGCAAAACCGACGGATGCCACTGGAATCAGCCATTTGTGACTTTCCCATGTGCTTCTAGTAACTACCCAGAGCCCGTCACCGCCGCTAATTCCCTTTGGCTCGGAACGCCTGGTCAGCCACATATCCCAGCTGGGCTCGCACTGCATCACTCCCAAACGCGGCTGGGAGAGGGTCGCGATCTCTTGAATCAACGCATCTGACTCTTTTTCTATTGCTTGACATAGCTCGCATCCGCTGGATGCGGCCTTGCGAAGACTTTCCAAGTCGACATGGTACTGGATGCCGAATTGTTTGATAGGGATATCTTTCTTGCAGAGATGTTCTTTGAGGAGCATATGATGATATCGAGGATATCCGCTGAGAGTCTTATGGAAGTTGTCCAGTGGGAATTGAGGCAGATTCTCCAAGGGTATGGAGCTGCAGAGCTCGCACAAAGGCATGATGGGGGCGCCTCGCGTGGTATTTCGATGTTGACGGGGCTACGTAGCCGGTAGCGATCAGGCTCGTTGTGTTTGTGACTCACTGTTGAATACGGCTACTCTTATCAAAGGAAACATCCCAAAAATGCTTCAAGCGTTGAGGAAGCCTAAAATCGGCGATCTAGGATTGCGAGCCGCCCCGTATCGCAGCCTATCTGAGGGGCTTTGGTCTTCATTGGTCCGCGGATCAAGTCCTTTTCTGTCCGACTTGGGAAACTGATCCTCCGCTTGCATGGTGTTTGGAGCTCACGTGGCCAAACTTGACCACTCCCACCACTGCGAGCGGAAAATGGAGAATTCAGCCTCTAACGTGTTTTTCATCACCCTCAATTACAATAGTAGGCTGATGTAGCTGCCTTGGTTTCGCCAAGGCCTGTCCGCTTTGCACAGGCGCAGTTCCGGTAATTACCCTACAGGTTTTTTTTTCGAGGGCCTGGGTGCCTCGATGAGACGCTCGCAGTACATGATCCTCTACCAGAACCGGACCGCGCCGATGGAAGCCGGCGCTTTTACCCAGAACAAACTCACCGTTCGGCGTAAGCCAGTTTTCGGTGCAGCCTGAGGTGCGTATGCTACGACTTTCCTCGGCGAAAGAAAGCTGGCTAATGAAATGACTGAGTAAAGCCTCTCCAAGCCAGCAACGGAGACGTCATGGAGGTGTTCTTTGACTACAAAGCCCCCAAGTTCCAAGAGCCGAAGGCAGGCGGCATTACAGCCTCCCACAGGTCGGCGCTCGCAATCCTTCCTTGGGAAATGATCCACTCGGCCGACCAGCAAACGGCGGCGTCGAGCGCGAGGATCATCTATCGAGGTACCGACGGGTGGCTGCAGAACCATGACCGCTCCTCCGGTGGTCAGGAGCTCACGTCGTCGGGCCAGCTGCCGGTGACTTTCGATTCAAACTTCACAATGGCTGGCTTTGCCGTTGTCCGACTTGATTCGGGAAGTCAGAACTCGGGTACTCTGAACACATGGGTTTTGTACTAGGATTCCGAGATTGGCAAGATTTCGTACGTGTACGAGGACGACACGACAGGTTGGAACGGGTCGAAAACAGATGCTGCATCGTTGGCCCAACACACTTCGCTTGCGTGACGGTTAGTTTGTCCAAAACCCCTGAGGTTCCTCTCGTAGCTTCGCAAGATCTGAGCCATTGCTTCTCCCAGGTGAAGCGACAGTTGAAGCACGTCCATTTCGATGGGAGCAAATGGTCCGACATGGGATTTGTGCCGATACATTGAGAGGTAGCCAGAATGATTTACTTCGACAGCGTGGAGTTCGGGTTCTTGACAATGATTTTCAGTGTATATCAACTCGCTGGCTTCTCAGTTCATTTAAAGGTCTTAGTGGGATGGATTGGTGATTGTAAGCTCACTCGGTGGCTCATGCAGCCAGATCAAAGTTGGTGTGACCGTCAAATCGTTAGTCAACCAGCCTAAAGAAGCCTCAACGATCACAATTTGTGGCTTTCCAACTAGTCGAATGCTTTCAATTCCTGCTAGGTATCAACAATTGCTATCGTACATGTATGTCATGCTCGCCTATTTCTCAAAGCGCTTGGCAACAGTCTTCCAGTTGACAACGTTCCAGATAGCGTCGAAGTACTCGGCCTTGCGGTTCTGGTACTGCAGGTAGTAAGCGTGCTCCCATGCGTCAATGCCCAGCAGAGGCTCAAGGTTGCCGGTGACGGGGTCCTGGTTCGCCCGGGTGACGACGCCGAGGGTGCCACTGGTCTTGTCCTTGACCAGCCATGCCCAGCCGCTGCCCTGGATGCCGGCCAGAGAGGTGTTGATCTGCTTGCGCAGGGTGTCGAAGGAACCAAAGTCCTTCTTGATGGCTTGCTATGGAAGGCGTTAGCATTCCGTACTTTGGGTTGGTTAATGTCTGGGTGTACGTACAGCCAGGTTGCCGTCGGGCTCACCACCGCCATCCCTGCTGGCGGGGGCCAGGTTCTCCCAGAAAAGAGAGTGGTTGATGTGACCACCACCGTGGAAGTTGATCAGAGGAGCCTGGGCAGCGGCCTTGGAGAAGTCGCCCTTAGCCTTGGCCTCCTCGACGGTCTCGAGAGCGGTGTTGAGGCCGTTGACATAGGTCTGGTGGTGCTTGGAGTGGTGAAGCTCCATGATCTGAGCCGAGATGTAGGGCTCGAGCGCGCCATAGTCATCTGAGGGAGACACCATGTTAGCGCGGCTGCAATGTACCGAAGGGTAGCTAACAAGGGGCGCTACTCACAAGAGATGTCGGGCAGGGTGGCCTTGCCGCGGACAAAGCTGGTGCTGGCCATGGCAGCAGCAGGCTTCGCGGCACCAGCTCGCAGAGCTGTGCGGAGGGCGGGCGCGGTTCGGAGGAGAGTAGACGACATTTTCGTATTCCTATGTCTTGTGTAAGTGTCAATGGGTTCGAAAAGACCGGATCGGGAATTGAGAAGTGCGTAAACAGAGCAGTAGAAGTACCTTTTGTGATCAATTGAGGTTGACAAATGGGTGGTGCAAATCTCAGGATGATGTCAATTGCGGGAGGTTCGGTCGGCTATTACGTGAGGGAGCTCGGGTCTCCAGAAAAGCTGCCCCGGGTTACCGAGCTCGCTGCTTCTCGCTGAGTGCAGGCCCGTTCAGTGCTTTCTCTACTCTGCGAATGAAAGAAGAATGTCGTCATCCACAAAAAGTGGGGAGCTACTACCTCCTGATTCCGTGCAGCGCCCTCGAACATTCCTAGATAATCCACAACCTTTAATTGGCTGAGATGGAGCATTAGCACCGCCACTGATTGTGCGCCGCATGTGGCTTATCATACTTCTGGATAGTGGGGTGGTTGATAGATGGACTGGGCTCAAGAATCGCGGCTGCATCACAGCCAGACGCGTCAAGCTTCGCCCGAAAGATTACCAAATCGTATATGACTCTAGCATATTCCAAGCAACAGACACGGCCTCTCAGCACACTGGGCAACGGTTACCATGTCTTACTACGACATTGACGCCATCTTAACAGACGCAGAGGTACGGCCCAAGTTTGCAGGGCTAGGTGATGGTCGACGAACAACACCAGCTGACAGTCCCCAGAAAGTACCCTGCAAATTCGAACTCGATGTTGCCGACTTAGGATACCTCGACAACAATCCTTCCCATGCCCTCAAATCAGGAACGCAAATCGCACTGCCGCTCTGGCTCGCCGAGATGCTCGCTCTCGCCAACACAGGTACCGCCGAAGACTCGAAAGCACCGGTGACGCTAAACTTGCCCCCCGCGCTATCATACCAAGTCGTCCAAGCATTGAAAGCCGATGCGCGAGCTGTCCCAGTCAGAGACCAGAGCGCCCACTTCTACGGTCTTGGCACACGCATCTTGGACCTGTTTGACGAGCGAGAGCTCAGCGAGGTTATGCGAAAGACATTTGTGGCACGGGCAGCAGAAATCGCATTGCATGCGCGTAAAGGAGCTGACGACGGTATCGGCGGTTCCAATGAGGACTTTCTCCGTGGCCTAGACGAGTGGGAGCGCGGTCTCTTCCGCAAGGCACACGATGGTACCAAAGCTTCCAAGGAATGGATGGATAAAGTCAAGAAACACTGATGAACGGCACGGTCTTCTCCATGCAAAATCCAGGGCACAACTCACTGCGAGACTACTAAGGGGGGACGATGGGTCCAGTGACTACGCGTCGCAGGCACTGGGGCCATGTCAGGCAAGTCTGTTGCATTTACCCAGCGGAAGGCCAAGGTCCAAACACGTTGCAATATGCTGCTACTTCGGCATCGCTGAGCAAAGACGCGCAGGGCCTCCCGCACCTCGCGATGCGGGTGGGTCGGCTCAAGGCGGAGATCGAGTCGTCTCGGACCGGCTCGGACCATCAGGTCGTACAGACGACGACCCCCGCGATATTGTCTACATTTACATGTAGGACACCACTCCGGAGTCGATGCGAATATGTCTGAACAGCTGCTTGAGGCAGGCCAAGCGCGAGGTGGGTGTTGAACCGAGGGGTGGCGATAATCAAATCGCGGCTCGGCCTTACCAAGATATAAGGCCGAAGGACAGAGGTAGCACATTTCAACATTCAAAATAGAATGGCGAAAGCCGGGGCCGTTATCTGACCATCGGCAGCGAATTCCTTTTTTTCCTATCGTGCCCACCCGTCATCGTTCAAGTGGAATATTGGCCAAATGCGCATGTCATTGTTTCACTTCAAAAGTCTTATCGAAGCCCTCCACAATGTTGGAGTCTGAGAGCGGGGCAATCCGAAGAGATCCCAAGCGCAGGTTATCGGCGGCTTCCGCGCCTCCACAACGCCCGCCACTTTTGTCTCTCACAATGCTTATAAGAAGCACAAACGTCCTTTTGTCTCCCTAACACTGAAGAAGAGTTGAAGGCCAACTGCCACTCGGAACGTCACAACGAATAGTCCCTTTTTGAAACAACTCGGACACTTTCTTAACAATCCGACAATGGCCATCTCTCAGACCCCTTCTCGCGCAACCGTCCAGCCAATTGTCCCTCCCCAGGACTCGGCTATTGACTTCGGAGCTGTCGTCACAAATATTGACATCGAGAAACTCACCGGTAAGACTGAAAACAGAGAACGTGATGAAAGCAATGATTTTGCACAAGTAGTGGGAGAATACCCGTAGAATCGGTAACCTCCTTTGGTAAGCTTCGATCTCAGACTCACAGACTCGACCAGAAGCTGACGGCTTGCAGACGCCGGTTTCGATGTCATCCGTGATGCCCTCTTCAAGCACCAAGTCGTCGTCATCAAGAACCAAGGGCATGCTTCCCCCAAAGCCCAGTTCGAAATCACGCAAAGGTTCGACCCTGAGGCCGGTGCCTCATACGGCCACGGCAAGACACTGGATGCCAAACGCTCCATTCTGCACCCTGACCTGAAAACGATCCCTCATCAGCCTCAGGTGCAAGTCATTGGCAATGGCTTCGTAGAAGAGTATGAGGGCCTGAAGAACATCCAGCTCAGGCACCCTCACCACCGCACATTCCATGCCACTGCAATCCCGGCCGAGGACGACCTGGACTTCACTCGATTCTACCGCTGGCACATTGACGCCGCGCTGTACGGCCTCGCGCCGCCCGTCGCCACCACCCTCCTCGCCGTTCGTGTCCCCGGCGGTCGCAAACAGACGCTCCGCTACGACGACGGCACGGGCGAGGAGATGACCGTCCCGCTGGGTACCACAGCCTTCGTCTCTGGTTATGCTATGTATGATCAGCTCTCCCCGAGGACCAAGAGTTCGTGCGGACAACAAAGGTCGAGTACGCTCCGCACCCTTACGTCTGGATGAGCAGCGCAAAGTCTCGTTCCGACGGCCTGGGGTTGGTATCAGAGGGCAAGGAGGTCCCGCTAGACGAGCTGCCGCCCATCGAGAAGGAAAAGATTCAGATCCTGCCCATGTGCTGGCGGAACCCCGTCACGGGCCGGTTAGCGTTGCAGGTTCACCCTTCGGCAGTGCGGAGGCTGCACTTGGCAGACGGGACTGTAGTGGAGGATTTGGCCGAGGTCCGGGAGACGGTGCACCGGCTGCAGCGGCCGGGCATCTCGCCCAGGAACGTGTACCCGCATGATTGGGAGCAGGGCGACTTTGTTATCTTTCACAACCGCGGAGTCATCCACTCAGTGGTTGGTGCATTTGCGGAAGATGAGGTTCGGCTGTTTCGGCAGTGTAATATTGCTGCTAGTCGTCTCCCCGACGGTCCCGTTGATGTCACTGCGGCTGTGTAGTAACCTTATCTCTTATGTTGCCTAGTTACGAGTTGCTATTTACATTTACTACCTAATAAAAACCTTCTTGCAATGTAACCCCGTCCAGCCTCTCAACTCTGCGATGCACTGCCCAAATCCAAAATAGCTAAACTCAACAGTGCCGCCGAGATAACCGACAAACTTCGCTGACAGTCTCGTGATGAACCAAACCGTTTGAATGCGGGACTCCATGTTACCTCAGTCACATCAGGTCGACAAGTCACAATGATTCTGAGTCACCGGCCTGCCTGTGCGCGCCGATCCCACAATGCAATACCACATGCATGTCGTGTCACGGTAGTAAGCACGCCACGACGATCACCGTTCGATATCCGGAATCGGAGCCGGCGATTGTGTCTGATGCCGAGACTAACAACACCCCGCACCGAGCCACCGAGACCCTCATGTGAGAATGAGTTCATACCGTCTGACAGCGTAGTCAACAACATGATCCTAATTTGGTGCCACCTGCGAGAGAATGACGAGATGTGTTCGAAAAAGATGAACGTTGACCATTCACTTGGATTAGATATTCTAATGAGGTAGCCAAAGTGTGAGCTCCAATAACCCCGCGTGGCTTTGAACCATGCAACCCATAAGATTCCAACGCCAGACCTGAACTCAAGAAAAACAGAACTTTTTGTGCATAAAGGGGGTATCATTCTAATCAGAGCCGGGGGCTCTTCGCATCGCTGGAAGTGAAGATTGCGGTCAAACCGCCAACGTCAAAGCCTCTATACATGCTTCCAGAACTTCCACTTTTGCGACTTTTGGCAGGTGTCGAAGTCGGTGACGAGGAACTTGCTGAGCTTCTTCCAGCCCTCCTCGGGAAGGGACTCGATGGAGTCGTTGAGCATGTCCATGCAATACTTGGTGGCTATTGTCATGTTAGTTACTGTTTTTAAATTCCGAGTGACAGATGGCGCTGCGTACGCATCATGTCCATGGCATCCTCGCGGTCTGCAGCAATCTCCATGCGGGTCGAGTTGTAGCAGTGGTACTTTTGCTGCAGCTCCAGCATGCACTCCCAGAGGGCCTCGAGGTTGGCGTCCTCGGCAGAAGAGCGGCGGCCAGTGAGGGACGGTCTCGGGTTTGAGGGCTGCTCCACACCCGCGGCGGTCGGCGCCGGGGCGTACTCAGTCATGGTGACAGAGGCGTCGGCCTTCTCGTTCGGGGCGCAGGGCCGGATGACGATGTCGTCTTCGCTGTCACTCTCGGGCCACGAGTAGCCGGAGCTGCTTCGCTTGGGGAACTGGGTCCTTCGTTGTTGTCGGCCGAACATGTTGGGCAAAGGTTTGTGTGATGAGATGAACGTGGTAGTAGTGTTGATGGTGTGTGTGTCTGTGTGTGTGCAGTTGTGGTGGTGTTGTATCGGTATTTGTATGCGTGAGTGAAGGTGCGTGTAAGCAGGTAAGTGTCTGTGCTCTTTGTTGACGTGAGGCGTCGATGGGTGCCCGAAGTAAATATAGGGGGGAAAGGGCAACCGTTCAGATGAAGTAGCCAAGCGCCGTGCCGGGAAGAGAGTTCTGACGAATATAACGAGACGGACGAGTTCAAACGGGATCATAAGCCCACTATATAAGCCGTGGGTGCCGGAACCCTATGCAGCGATCACCAATCTAAGGCTCAGATCGTTCGAGACGAGGCGCCCTAAAATTCTGAAAAGCGATGGCGATCAGACCCGCGGCGGCGCCCAACGGAACCAGGCCGATCCTTACTCATGCCAATGCCTGGGGGCACACTGCCAGCCCAGTCAAGCCAGTCAGAGACTTTCTCAACGCCATCAGGGCAAGGGAAATGGGATGGGATGGGCGTGCGTTTGTGAATGTGCGAGTGTGTGTGGCACCGGGCACTCGTGGCACACCTCCCAGGGTTGTGTTCAAGAGGCCATTGCCGTAGCCGCATGTTGTTTGAGACTAACATGCGTAAAAAGGAGTAGTACCTTTGAGGTAATCCGACCTAGAATGAGTAATGACGATGGGGCCGGGAGGCCTGCGCTGAGAGCTCCGTCTGGCCCGGGCAGCGTCCGGAACATGAACTGGGCATTAAATGGGTCCATCCAAGCAATTTTTTCTCCCCCAAAGTCGCCTCTCCTTGCTCGTTCCTGGACCTTGGACGAACCATTGTCATTTCCAAGAGAATTTGACGGGAAGAATATGAACCAGAAGGGCCGAACCACGTAACGCAAATGGTCCTGGCTCCCCTTCGCGGAAGAAAAGAACTGGAGCTACGCCGCAGGGGGTTTCGTCTGTGACGTTGGTCTAGTGGCCTGGAAACAATTAAACGAGAGAAAAATAAATGTGGAAATTCTCCGAGAATGTCAACAAATTTTTTAACAGAAGAAAAAAAAAGAAACCAAACTGGGTTTCGCGTTTGTTAGGTAGGTACACACACAACGTACACCGTCTTGGTTTAGTCTAAACTACATCTTGCGTGTAGGTGTGTGTGTGTGTGCTGGACCCGCCCGCCCGACCAGACTTACAGCTTTTTGTTGTCATGAGAATGAGGACCCCTTGCATGGCATCTAGACTCTGTGAATAAACCTGTGGGATGGGGAGGAGCCAAGGGTGAGAGGGGCACTGCAAGAAGGTTTCCCGTTGCTACCCCCTCAGTCTTGTCATGATGTTATGGCGGTGTCAGCTTCGCGGCCGTGAGTGGATGAAAACAGCCCGGCCGACGTGGATGAGCGTGGCTGCGTTGGTCATCCTCAGGCGATGCAGGGCCGTGGCATCCGCCCAGACTGGCGGATGACATCTGCCGGGCGAGAAAAGGGATAGCAGCAACGTTCATGATTGGGACGGTACTCTTAATTCCGCCGCATGGATTGCAGGTCTGGTACCGTTGAAACAACTGAATGTTTTTGTTGTGGGTTTGTCAACGGGCGATGAGGGGTGGCGTGTTTCTCCCTGGCGACCGACAAGTGAGTGCGTGATGCGTTGATGCAATACCATGCTCATATGGAGCGATAAGGACCATAACGGCCATTTCAGGGCCCAGATTCTCTCAGGGCAGCAGTTCGATGGCTTCATGACCTGCGGTGAAGGGGGTTCACCAGTCATTAAGGTAGCTCTATGTCTTAGACATTGAGACATGCGCCCAGCCCCCGGTGCTTGCGCGGTTAGATCAAATGACGGTGACGGTGCGGGAAGGGCGCGGGAAGTTGGGTGTGCGAGACATGTCAGATGAGTCTGGATGGGGGTGCCCTCCCCCCTCCTTGAGTCTGAAGCATCAACCTTGAAGCAACCTTCATTGAAGCGCGAAACCCTCAACCTACAGGGCTGTTGTGGTCCTCAATTACCGGAAGGCGGGCCTCATCTCTAAAACTCCCGTCTATTCCCGTGAATGGGGCCACTACTATGTAAAAGGGTTACGGTGCAGGGGCCGATTCCGCACCGACGTTTGCGATCAGCGCCCGACTTACGGTGGAGTGCGCAGGTTGGCCGAGTTTGTGATCATGAGTGAATAGGATCGAGGAGACTACTACGGAAAATGGCAACATCGTTCGTTAGTGAGATCTTACCCTGCTTCACACTACATAATTCATCGTACGCTATCGAGTTTAGATACGGGGGTTACAATACAATGGCCATGGCATGTTGCGCGGCGCCACGGACACATCATCAGCCGGACATTTCGGATGCCGTCCAAAAAACGACCGGACGACGTTGCTAACAAAGTTAAAAGTTCATGACCTGACGGCACTCAGATCCTCTGGCCAAAGCTTGTGTCAACGTCCAAGACGCCCAGACACCCAGACTCCATGATGACTTTATCGGGGCTGCAAAGCTGCTTGCTGTTTTGGAATAGCTTGTAAATCCATGCGTCATACGGAAGCATTCTTATTCGTTCTTATCTCATCACATCTCACCTTGCTCTCTTTTCACATGTCCACAGCCACACCCCAAGCTTGGCTGCTTGGCTGCCCATGGCCAGCCTCCCTGCTGACTCCGCGAAGCCACACCTGATTGTAAACGCCAAGTTCCAAATTCGTTGCGCAATTGCAGCTGTTTGCGCGTCTCTGAGTCCCCTTGGTGAGATTTAGTCATGATACTTGGCCCCTGCACAATCTCTTTGTCTTCCCAAGGGATCCATTGACGAGACCAAGAACCATCAGCACGCTTACGGCACTCTGATCCGCCAAGTTGCGACCAGCAGGGCGCGTCCAAACCTTCCGCGACGGCTCCACTTGGAAGATGCCGGAGCGCACGCCGGACCTGAGTTGTCGTAAGCTTGTCGAAAACAGCGTCCCAAGGCTGGCCTGGTCTGGACTGCGGTGGGGCCTAAGAATTCCCCATAGGGCTTGGGTTCAAGCTGCTGTTTCCAAAATCATAGTCGGTCGCTGGCTCATTGTTGGTGCGATTCATGAGCCACACGTATCTGCCACGCAGCATCAGAGCGTCGCCTCATTCTTGACTATGCCAGCGGATGGTTTAACACCGTCATCTGCTGTTAGACCATCCGTATTCAGTGACTCTAGCCCAATTTTCCTCGGCCCTTCTATCGTTTAGTTTGGCGAATGTTTCACGTAACCAATTTTCATTGTAATCATGACCGCATAGCCAGTTGTTCTCGGTCACCGAAAAAATCATGTGCGGTCATGCTGTGTCAGGAAACACCACTCGTCGCCAACTCCAGTTGTCGTTTCAGAGAAGGTGGGCTAGAATTGTCCACGCGCGAAAGTGGACCAGTCTTGTCTCCATGCACTCAATGGACTCGTAAGTCGGCCTAATCCGAGCTTGCTCGCGAGCGTTGCGAGGCTGCTCGAACAACTGATTCAGCGTCGTTAAAGTCTGTTGAGGGCCTAGACGACGCAAGGTCGTGACAATCTGTCCATCAAATTCAACATTTTATGGGCTTTTCAGTAAAGCCGTAATCTTGCGTTTTTCTCATGAGAGTATAACATAATGTCGCTGGGCTACAAACAATCAAGCATCGCAAAGTTTGAGCACGTCCCACGGAGAGAACGGATCTGGGCAATAATTGAAGAAAAAGTACTGAAGATGAGATGTGAGCCGGTCGAATTTTGGTCAAAAACGACTACTGGGAGATGCTCAGTCTCGTGACAAAAAAACGTTCCTGTGTTTCTCTCGAATCTAAAAATAAGGAGCGCCTTTTCCGCCCGGCTCGACCAAAGCTGTTGAAGGAATAAGGTTGGAACGGCCCATGCCAAAGCTTAGGGCGTATAGCCACCTCCATTGACTTCAACGAACCTCCTGACTGATGCCGCTTTGCCCGGAAATGGATCAACTCGGCTCGACCGGATTAGCAAAGTCGATTTCGCATTTCGACTGGGCCATGTCATATCAGGTTAGTTGCATTAATTAGACCATGAATGACAACATCCTGGTCTTTAGTCACTTATCTCAGCAAAGATTGTGACATAACCAGCCTGTGAGGCTTCAGGAATTAGAAGGTTTACAATCAACAAAAATCAAAAGTTCAATAGGCTTGCATCCGCGACAAACATGTGGCGATATAGAGCAATCAGTCACGGCTCTATTAAACAGACTTGAGTTCGCCCCCAAGATAAGTGCCCTTGGCGCAGCACCTGCTGAAATTGACATCGCTAACCGTTTCGGCAGTCCCAATTGGCGTCATCTACATGGTCCGCTTGTTGTATTCTGTATTCTGAGCGCTTCTTTTGTTGATGCTGTAGCAGTCGTCGAAAATTCCATCGATCGAGAGGTTGTCCGCCACAGCAAGGTTGCCCAACCCACTTGCTCATGTTGAAATTTCGTTGAGTTGAGAAGTAGGAATGGCCACAAGCGTGGCGTCGTGTCACGAGGTGTAAACCAGTAACGGAGTGTCATTTTTCTTTGTTGAGATAGGATTTGGGTAGAGGGCCATAATGAGTCCTAATCTCGCTGGATTACTGCCTTTGCACAGCTCTTCAACGATTAGCAATGTGAAGTAAAACCCATGCATTCGACGAGTCAATCAGAAAGACAGAAGCCTGCCTGGGGTCTACGATTTGACGATTGTTATTAACTTCACGGGTTAGTAAACATGCTACACCAACACAATCGAAGTGAGAGGTTTCAACTCATTGATATGTTACCATAGTCGCGTATGAGTGAACAAGAATATCTTGTGATGTAAAGAATTTAAAAACTAATTTTAGAAAATGTAAATGTAGTCATTTATGTATACAGCCCAGAATACCGAACCCTCTACGTAGAAGTTACGGGATAGTTTCAAACGATCACCGCTCCTAGCACGACTTATGTCTTGTATTTACAGGGTGATGTCCCGACCTATCGATCCCCCTTCCAGTTCAACTCA